CCCTAAACCCTAAACCCAAGAGAGGCCCCCCTTCAAAGACGAAGCTCTGCAGCACCGCCACAAGGGATCCTCGAGCCTCAAATTCTGTCAGTTTTGGGCTTCCGGGGTTAAGGCGGTTAAGGGGCCTGGAAAAGGATTTAGGGGCTTAGGGTTTCGGGGTTTAGGGGTTCAGGGTGTAAGGGTTTTAGGGGTCTAAGGGTTCAGGGTTTAGGGATTAGGTTATCTTTAGAGTTAGGTTATAGCGTCGGTGGTCCTAGGGTGTTCAGGGCTTCTTGGGTTTAGGTGCTTGTAGGGTCGATGGTCTGCAGAATGTCCGGTTCTTGGGTTTCTGTAGCTTTGCTATTGTTTTGGAGGGGGGTCATAGTGCTTAAAATGTCCAGCGCTGGGGTTCAGAGTCGTACGGGTTTAGGCAACAGAGAGGCAGATTTATTGTCAACGGTTTAGTGTACACGGAGCTGAAGTACGAAACCAACGCCCGTAGCAAACAACGCAAGACCACCAAAAGGTTCAACAGTTGAAAAGATGCGGAAATAGATGAGTACTATATAAGACTGTATAGTTGATCATCCCGTTGTGTCTTTGTTTCTTCGTTAGTATAGACATGTCAAGAACCACATGCATGTGTAGACGGGCTTTAGGGTTGAGACTAGTCGAGGCCTCGATCGAGCAGCTTTGGGAAGAAACGAGTAGCAGACCTCGCAGCCACCTAAAAAAACACACACCTTCCCTGTTGAGTTTGGGGTTCTGGGTTTACTCTCTCACAACTCGGACAAGCCAGGCGAGGTTCCATAGGTTTGAGTCGGCGTGATACAGGCACACGAACTTCTGGGCTGTGGGATTATAGGGGTTTTTGTTGGGTACTGCCCAATACAGTAAGAGTCTATGATAGAGCTACTTTTGGGACTGATATATCTCTATTGTGAATGTTATCCAGCTGTTGCCGAGTGGGGGCAGTATCCAAGGTTTAGGGTTGGAAGCTTCCCACCAGGAAACGAAAGCCCCTGTCCCAACAGCGGCCTCTGTCTGCCGCAGCAGCCGATGACGCTTCTGGCAGCTGTGCTGTCCTTGGCAAGTCTTCCCTAGGGGTTCTAGAGGACATAAGGGCGAGAGTGGGGATAAAGACGGATGTACCGGGTTTCTCACTCTGTTGAGGTTGAAGGCATAGTAAAAGATCTACTTACGGCTGCAAAGCGATTGCTTGCAAATTGTGCAGCGAGAAGCGACGGAATCAAGTCGCATGGCAAAGCAATGAGCTAGTCACAGAGTAAGGAGCATGTAATGCACAAGCCATGCAGTTTCGGTCACTTGTGATTTGTTTGTAATACGCCACCAATCTGTAACCGGCTCAAGCTGCCAACTGATAGCTTCGAATGTCTTAGACGCAGACAATTTGCCTTAAACCTAATGGCCTTGCATGGCTGGACATCTTCGGAGGACGCTCGTGCAGACCCATGCTATACAGCGCTTGCTGCGGAAGCATCTGCGCTTTTGAAGAACCTGAAACATGGGAAATGCCCTGAACCCTCAAACCCTATAAACCCTAAACCCTGAACATCGAACCCAAACCCTGAGCCCTAGGCCCTTTTTACGAACCCTGAACCCTCGACACCAACACCAAAACGATAAAACCACACGCAACAAAGCATATAAACCCTAACACCGCCTAGAACCCTGGACCCGCAAGCTTCACCATACTTCACAAGGCCGTATAATTTAAACCCTAAATCTTAAACCTTAGGACCCCCAGGCCCCAGACCCGAGCCCCCTGAACTCGGGTTTGGGGTTTAGGGTTCGCCGAAAAGCCAAACACCTACAGCCGCTTCCTTCGGCCCCGGGGCGGCCATTGAGGTAGCAATGATCCTCGCCGGACACCTCTGTGGACGCCCGGACGAAGTGGGAGCTGCAAACCTCCGGTCTAGGGTGTTTCGCCGGTTTCATATGCCGTTTATGGGGTTTCTTTTTGATTTTCAGCGGTTTTAAAAGGCTTGTACAGGGTCGCACAGGGGTTTGTAGGGCGCTATAGAATTTCGCAGGCTCTATGGAGGCTGACTATGGAGGTCTGCGATATCAGTACCACTGTTAATTTATGCCCCACGCAACTCTATTCTAACCATTGTCAGGCACTGCTAGAATTCAAAACCCTAAACCCTAAACCCTATAATCCCTAAACCCTAAACCCAAGGAACTGCTCAGCTAGCTAGGCAGAAGGTCCAGACGTGGACCGGCCTACAACCATCGAAAACCGGCGCGACACCTGTGACAAATAGCAGACCGAGATGCTACTATGACTCCTTTGTTTTCCTCTGAGTCCATCACTTCGTGGGAACAGTATAAGGCTTAAATGCCGACACATGAACAAAATTCTGCTCGAAGGCGGGGCTCTTTACCTTTGTAGTGTAGCCAGGAACTTGCATCAAATGCAGCGCCCGAGCAAAAAGAGATTATGGCCCCCGAGATGAATTCGAGCCAGTGCTTAAGACTGACAAGGAAAAGGACGAGGCCGCTACCTGCTACATGATCTCATCGCAATGAGCCTCACCTGGCCTAACGATAGGCCGGGTTGTAGTCTCCGCGAATCTGATGCTCTATGCTGCAGCCATAAGCCAACTCGATAATTGTCCCCTTGTGACCGCAGGAGCCGGGCCAAGCGATCACGCTAGCGTGCCTCATGCCGCCTCCACCCATGGCAACCGAGAAGACATTCGGCCAACCGCTGACAAAGATAGCCTTGCCATGACAAGGCAGGCCTCCACTGCGCCAGCCGCTTTTGCCACAAACCCTCTTCTCGAGCTTATGCTTGAGGTTGGATCCATATCCTGCGTAGGAGACGAAGTGGATGTGGAACTGGTTGATGCTGCGGTGGCCCGGTGGATTTACGATCAGGGCACAGTGGCTGCCGCCGCAGCGCGCGTGAGCTGCGTCCATGCCGTTGTTGTAGTAGCCGACATTGCCACCATTGACATCTTCGATGCCTCTCCCACTGCCCCAAACCTTGTCTCCGCCTTGGGACCAACCAGCCGCCACTTTTACCGCGGCGAAATTCTCGCCACCAAGCAGGTCGCCCTCCGGATCGATGAAGTCCTCGTCCTCAAGGTCCTGCTGCTTCCCGGCGCTGGCCGGCTCCTTCTGCTTCGTATTGTTGGCCGGGAGGGACGTGATGTTCTGCTGGAGCGCGTGCAAGGCACACGTCCCCTCAGCACATTCATCCCTTGCCATGGCCTCTGAGAGCTGTGTGGCCTTGTCGGGAGAGGTGGCCCCGGCCAGGACCGAAGCACCAAGCACCAGGAATCCCACGATCATGGCTGCAACGGCTCTTGCGGCTACGTCTCACAAAATTTGCTGGTCTTCCTTCTGCCAAAATGGCTCAGGGAGTGTAGCTTCCCACGGCTTCAGGGAGGGCTTATGGCTTTGGAGGCCAGGGCTTCGGGCTTGTAGGTGAAGTCTCGAAGTTTCAGAGACGAAATCGCTTCAGGGTTTGAGGGAGTTTGGAGCTTTGTCTAAAGCTTCCGGCAAAATGAGGTTTCAGGACGGTTCGGCTTTGGAGTTTAGCATAGTTTAGCTCTTCTTTCGGTTTTCTAACATTTCGATGTCAGGGCTTAGAGTTGTAGGAGATTTCAGGCTTTGGCAGAGCTTCCCTAAACCGTAAACCCTGTAGCCCCAAACCCCCCGTTTTGAGCTATAGGGCTTAAGCCCAAAACCCCTAAACCCCCTAAACTCTTGAAGCTTTAGGAAGTTTAGGCTTTGGACTCCCAGGTTTCTTAAACCGGTCTACAGGCAACCGTGACTTTAAGATACCTTGTCCCTGGGGCTCCAGTTACATGTAAAAAAGGGGGCAATATAACAACGACCTATACTATTTTTTTGGGGGGGCTCCTTATTACAATCAGAGTATAATGGGCCCCCAAACCCCATTCTAACTGTTCAGGCCGCCATATTACTTCTTCCCTCTCGCATAGCTGACGACGATGCTCACAAGCGAGGCTTCTGTGACAATCAAGACGTGCAACAGCTCAGAAGGCAAACCCCATTTCGACCACTATCCCAATAAATAGTCCGGTAACCGGCATCGAAAAGGGGTTTATAATCGGCTACTGGGGTTTAGGCTTTGGGCGTTCAGCGTTAGATGTTATTTTTTGTTAGTAACCTACTACTTAGGTACCTGGAGCCTTGGGATTGTTGCAGCCGAAGGACCATCTCCATCGCAGCCGAGCCCGGCCATGCGGGGAGCACGAGCACAACCTGACGCTGCACTTGCCAGAATTTTTTTTGGGAATTCTCTAAATTCGGGTCCCTTTTAGGGTCCTTTTTATAAGGGTGCCGTACCCCAATTTAAAGAACTACCCACATAAGAGTCTAAGACCCTGCATAGTACACCGAAATCCTTCTCGGCCCAGTGGCACCTGCACCGACCACCTCCAAGAGTTGAAGAATGTACTACGGATGGTGGGTGTTGGGACTGTCGCTGTTGTAGCTAGGGGTATGGGCCCATTCATGGACGTTGCAGCTACCTGGCATCTGCTACATACCACAAGTAGAGCTTTGTTACTACTATAAACAGCACCAATGACTAATTCATTTTTATAGGTAAACATTACCTCGGCTTTAAGTTACTTGGAGGAAGCAATGGAGTTGCTTACAGCAGCGGTTATTTTCTCGAGTTTTCTGGTTCTTGCTTGCGCTGGCCCTACAAGCACATTGAGATTTCTTAAACCACCTTAAACATTATGACACCACGCGGCACATTCTTAAGCTGCCAGCAGAGCTATTCCTTCAAATATTATCGACTGCGCATTCTTCCAAAACCTACCGGCTTAAGCACTAGAAGCCCTGAGACAAATGGGTCATGGCCTGCTACTTGTGGGGCTTGAGGCTGCGTGTGAACTGCGAAGCCCTTACCAAGGCCATGAACAACAGCAAACATATACAACTATAACCATTTTGACAGCCTCAAATCTGAAGAACAGTTATACAAGGATGTTAAGTTGCCATCGGAGCGGCTGAAAGTGCGGGGCCTTCCGCCGCGAGCGCCCGAAGCAACGCCGCCACGGCACGCGCAAGAAGGCCTTCCTCGAACGGTGGATTGCCTCGGATTTGACCCGTATTGACCCTATGCAAGTGGCTTGCAACGTCACGCAACGACAGCGAAGGCATTCCACGCCGAATTCGTGGCAGCATGAATGCAAAGGCCGTAGGAGACTGAACTGCACCCTTTTTTGGCAGCGGGCTTGTTGGGTGCACGCCTGGTCCGAGGCCTAAACCCTAAACCGTTTTGACGAGCCACAGGTTTTTGTTCGACTCTCACTCTCACACAAGACAGGCAAGGCTCCGCACAGGTTTTTTAGGGGTGCAGAGCCGATCCATCGGAAAGGATGGAAGGTTCAAGGCTCAGGTTTCGGCACTCACACACTCGGACGCTCCAGGCGAGGCATGTGATCCGAGGTCTGCAATGAGGTAAGACATGTATCACGAGAAAGGCCCTGACAACACACCAAGGTTTACGGTTTAGGGTTTAAGGGGTGTTGGGTTTATCGAGAATTCAAAGCTTAAGCTTGGAGGCGTCGGGTTGCGGCTGAAGTGGGGTCATAAGTATCATGCTTGGGGCTTACCCTGCTCATATTAAGCTCTCTACGATCTGGGTCTATAGTGTTAGTTGAGAACTCAAGACTCAAGCCCCGTATGCGACTGCAGGCTCACTCTCCACCTAAACCCTGTAAACCCGAAACCCCTCATCCCTATAAGCCCTTGACCCAGTACCGCTCCTACAGTGCTATACATGGGTATATATATATACACACTTATTTATCTATTTGTTTATTTATTTATCTATAGACAGATATCATATGATGTAAGGCTTCAACCAGGCCCCGGCTGTTTCGGGCAAGTAGCACTCGAAGCTTCCACCTCGCACGAGAGTCTCTTCGCAGAAGCGGAAGAAGCCGCCCTTCGAGCCGAAGTCTCGATCCGTGTCCTTTGCTTTTTGCTTCCGGGCTCCAGTTACCTAAATAATGGGATACTGGGGTACAGAATACATGGTTAGTAGCCTACTATTCAGGCAACTGCAGCCTTAGGGCTTTGCTTCAGGGGTGCAAAAATAATGCCAAGCATTCCTGCTACTATCAAGATGCTGTGCCCTGCTGTTGAGTCGACTGATGCTTTACTGTTTGCATCGGTGGCTTGACATGTGACGGTTCTTGCGAAATTGTAACGGGGTTCTGTTGCATGCTTGTGCCGGGGGCTCTTGGCGCTGTAGTGCTCGAACGGTGCTGTGATGCTGATGTTGGCGGTTGCAGTGGTGGTCGCTGTCATCATGGTGTAGTAGCTCTGGTCCTTGCTGGTTTGGGTCGTGGCAGTAATGCGGTACAGTTTATCTAATGTAGGTTTGTCCACACTGAACGGCACCTAAGTTTACAGGTTGCAAGGAAACTAGTCTTGCACATGGAGTGCCGCAGGCTTGCATTCGGAGCTAGTGCGATAACCTTTCCGTTTCTGCATAAGTAGCGGTCAAACCTCACAACTGTCGGCGCGCACACGCACCCCTAAACCTTGTGCCAGGCGTCTGGAAAAATGGAGCAATAAGACGGCAGGGTGCAGTTCAAAGGCGAAGCGAACAGCTCGTGCTGGACCCCAAACGTGTCTTGCAGGCACTCGAACACCTCGGTTCAAGGCTTAAGCCTTCAACTCTGAGCCCAAAGCCCAAAAACCCTAAACCCTTAGCCCGGAAGCCCTAGACCCTATGAATCCTGAAACCCGACCATAAGCTCACCTACAGTCTAGGAGTATAGGGTTACAGGTTCAGGCCTTTGTAGTTCTCGAAAGCACCAAGGCTGCTACACACGGGTGGCTCTCTGAGCAAGCAAGCAGAGGCATTGATCCAACGTGAGCCCGTGACTATCAGAGCCGAAACGATTTCGGCTTCTTTTCTGCATCGTATGAAATTATGAACTGTGGGTGTGTGGGAACTGTGTTTTTCCCAAGAACCCTGTTCGATCTCTGGAAGCAATCCCGAAAGGAACCCTGATTAAGGTAGGGATTAGACTATAATTATCATAAGGAGCCCCCCCAAATTTTGTAGGTAATTTCTAAGGCCCCTATATTACCAAGCTTCCGGTCTCACCTGAATGTAAGCGCAAGCTCTGGGCTTAGCCGGGTAGTGGGTTCATAACCTACTATTTTGCTAGGGTTGGGAGTTAACACAACACCCGATGACACTGCGGGGCCACACGCGACCTACTAGTTTCTAGGGTTTAGGGAGTTTAGGGCTGCCGCTGCCACCTCGCTGGTGAGCGCCATATGCCAGCCAGCCCCCTGCAAGGCCAAGACGTGGGAGAGATTGTAAGGGATGGCAGTACTCAGTATCTGGTTGAGTCTGTTTAGTCTGGCAGTTGGCTGGCTATCACACCGATAGGCAGGTTTGCGTAAAACAAAACCGGTTTCCTGAACAGTGACTTGACTGAGGAACACACAGCCTGCGCTTCAATGCCAGCTGTTCAAACACGATAGCTCGAAGAATCCTGCGTATGGCCTACAGTGCGGATCTTCAGTCCTTCACCATTTAGTTCCACTATGCCTGTAATCGACATGGCTGTTCGTGTGGCTATTCCGACTGCTATACTTGATATTCGAGTAGGACGGTGCTCATGAAATTCAAGTTGTGCAATTAAAGATGTGCAAACTCATGATTGGGCCAATGTCAGGTCCCTGTGATGACTGATACCGTGATAACACGATGTGCGTGCTACCAGAGCCAATGCGAGTGTGTATGCCTAAGCCCTGAACTGCTAAACCATGATGAGCCCTGTCCCCAACACCCTTCTTTGGAAATCCTGTCCCCTTACCACCCTTACCCTAAACAGTTCATGAACACAAAGATGTGGATCGCACGGAGAAACACGGCAGACTTTGAACATGCAGGACTTGCTACTGAAGAAGCCAAGACCCCAACAACAACTTATCAAGCATCCCCCTCCCCCGCCCTTGTTCAGGTCTTTATATAGGCCCTAAAACCTAAACCCTAAACCCTTTCCGTCTTTAGGGCTTTGGGTGTTGACGGGTCCTCATCGTGCGGACCGAAGAGCGCGCGATAGCGCGTGAGGAGGACCTAGGCGGCTGCAGCAGCGAGGGCCCTGCTGCGAACCCCGTGAAATGCTTTAATTCAGGGTCCTCAATAATTAGAGTAGGCTTTTGGGTATATCATAGTATAGTTATAAGAAGGAACCCCCAAAATAATATTGGTAATTATTCAGGCGCTCTCAGAACTTGTAGCAGGCTCCTCATATATCCCGTGACGAACAGTCAATGGCCCATCTCCCCTACCCGCTACGCCGTCAAGAAGGCCCTGGGCCGAAATCCATCTTGGGGTTTCGGAAGCAAAAGACTCGAGTACGAAGCCTAACTTATAGTGTCCATACGTAGATATTATGCGCATCTTCACATGTATTAAGAATGACACTGGGAAATAAAAGTATGTAGATCATAAAATTTACACTTAAAACATGAAGATCAACATAAACAATAGAAACACATGTGTAGATTAGCAGGGCCCTTGAATAAGGTACCCCTGATTAACAAACCCCTAAGCCAGCTCATATGGATGCGAGGAGCCCAGCACTTCGTATTAAAGTCGCCCAAGGTCTCCTCCTGTCATGGCATTTTTTGCTTAGGGTTTAGGGTTGATGGGTTATAGGCTTTCAGCCTCAAGGGGCCCTTATAATCCAGGTCCGGGCTAAAGGGCTTTGGGGCTGAGAGCCTTGGTCCCGATTCTTCGGTGTGACTGGCTGAAGGAAGGGACAAAATCGAAGATCGACATTTTCTCCTACAGAGGCAACTGCTATGAAGCACCTACATCTACTGCAACAAGCGTCACAGTCGCATATGTATGGGGCCGGTGTCCTGCAAGTCCTCCAGGACTCCGTTTATGGAAGCAGACACCCGTTGTCTGTCCTTGACGAAAAGCCGCTTCAACTTGTCGGCATGCTCTGCGTGGATTTCATGCCTGTCACGATCTCTCACATTACAGGTGTTGTCGGAGCGTTGGAAATGAGATGCCCGAAATTTCAAGGGGTGGTGGAAGGCTGTTGTAGCCTGATCTGCCGCCCTGATAGCCTACATGTCTTATGAGAGTGTCGGGGATGGTCTATACACATTCTTCCTAGGTGGAAAATCTCTGAATGCTAAACCCCCTGTGATGCATTTCATGTCTCGGCATAGGAACGACCACACAGCATCAATGATCGTCACCTTGGGGATCCAAATAGCCCAGAGTAGGTACCATGTCTGGACTTTGGGATCACTTTTGGGGCCCGAACTATATAAGTAATTAACGAGTGTAAACATGACATGGCGCCTCGCGGTCACGACTAACTTAGGGTTACTTGCCGTTCCGACTCTCGTGCTGGCCAATCCAAGGAAGGACACCTGGAGCAGGCAAGAATCACGGTTTGAGCGTCAGGACTACAGCCGTAGAAGCTCGCAACTAGAGCATCATGGACACCTCACGAAACAAACTGTCTCGTGGCAATTTTTACTTGCCGAAAATCTTCCTCGCCGAAGAAAGCTGGCCGCGAACCTCGAAATTGCGGAACGCTAAACAACGGAACATGACAAAACCTCAGACCCCCGACTCTTAAAAGCCTTAAGACTCGAGAGAACCTCCCGGAGCTTGCGATACCCTCTACATCCCCGAGAGTCCTACACCTTTCGATTTTTGTTGGTTGGGCCTCAATGGAAGCTTGCCGTCGACTCCCACCTCGGGTTCGGTCCGAGATAACATTAACGACTGCCAGAAGGTTTGCACAGTATCCCTAAGCCCCCAGCTAACTACTATATAGGGTACTAGAGCCCCTAGGGCCCTATAGTAGGTACTTGCGGGGCGAGGGTATACTGCTGATGGATATAGCCCTGTCTTAACCTTGATATACGTAAGGCGCTGCAGCATCTTGCCCACCCGCAGTATGAGTCTCGATTCTGGATGGCGGGGTATCGGCGTGTGGCAGGTATAGGGATATAACTTTAAGAGCCTAGGGATTGAGCCTTGGGGCCTAGCTTGCAAGATTCGGGGTTCATACAGCTTCAGGTGTAGCTATTGACTTCGAGCAATCCAGGTAACCAGGTAAGGCTTCCAAGAGCCTTGGGGATGGCGGCGAACTTTTGACTTTTATCAAGCCATGCCTAGCATGATGCTATTTGACTTGATGCTTTGTAATGGGGGAGTTTATAGGCGATACTTGGCATGATTGCTTGAGGGGAATGTGACCAATACTTTAGAATACTTTACCTTACGTACCAAACATCCACCTTTCAATTCTGAATGCACTTTACTAATTATACACTAACTTCAACAGGATTGACCTGTTGCAGCATACTGTACAAGACCTACATGTGTGTATATCTGTATATATATATATATAACCACACAACTACACAAAAACTGTGCTTCGAATCCTACTGAATGTTCCGCAATCTACTTCCATACAGAAAACAATTTGGGTTTCGAAGCTATAACACGTTCAGTGAACAATGTCTCTGCTCGTGTATAACAGCAACAACACTAACAAGTGGAATAATGATGACACAAGTAGCAATAATAACAATAGAAGTAACAATATTCCATAATGATGGTAGCAACAAGAACAACAGTCAAACTAACAACAACCATAAACATCATCATCATCATTATCATCATCATCAGACTAGTAACAGTATGTATGTATAGATATGTGTGTGCACACATTTTCATTGCATCATCTCTTTGGCTGAAATATCCCGTCGCTTTATCGAAGCCATCCCCTTCTCATCGGATGAGAAGGAGCGAAACAAGTGGTTTACGCTCTCATAACTCGGACTAGCCAGGCGAGGTTCAATAGGCCAGGGTCGGTGTGATACTATCGTCGAGAGTCTGTGAGCTTGTTTAGGGTTTGGGGTTTCGGGATTAGGTTTTAGGGTTTAGGGCATGAAATGGGAAACACCAATATACAGAATCTACACCAACCTGCTGGGACAAGCAGGACTTGAGTCACACAGATCTCCAAAGCCGATTCATTCTTCTTGAGGGGGCCAACACCCATGACATGTTTCTTTATGACCCATGGTGAGTTACTCACAGAATATAACTCCCAAAACCGCATAAAGCCCAGATGAAGCACCAGGTCTGTAGGCCCTGGCGGGCAGCTCGCCGCGGAGGTCTAGGACAAGTCGACCTGGTGGTGACTCCTCGGAGTAAAGAACGAGCTGAGCGGGAGCCGGCAACCCGGGCCTCGGGCTTTGACCCCTGGACCTTGATTTCGGATTTACAGGGTGTGGTTCTACCTTTCCCATGATGCGATGTGTGCTAAACACACTCCCGCACACCACCGCGAACAAAATTTAACTTGCGCGGTAGAAACGCAACAAGTTTGAGGGTTGAGAAACAAAGAGCTACAACTGAAGCTCCAGAAGGTCTGGGAATACACATCAGTTGAATGGAACCAGCCCCCCCCCCCCGCCCCACGAAACCGGAGTGGCAACGACAACCTGAACCGTCAACCGTGCTAAACCCTGAATCTATCCCTTTTTTACCCTAAACCCAAAGCCCGAAACAAACCCTCTGTCAGACCTTCCGCCTGCCACTCTGGCGTCTCTCGCGGCCTTATTCTGCTGATGAGGCGCCGTGTTCACTTGCAGGTCGGCACCTTAAAAAAAAAGATAGTGTTTTTGGGTTTGGGGTTCAGGGACAACAGCAATGTTTGGATAGTAATAGTGGTAGCATTGGTATAACCCAAACTAATAACAGTAGCAGCAGCAATAACAGAAATAACGGCCATGGTAATGTTAACATGAAACAAGGGAAAACAGTGAACGCATCGCATGTGTAACTCTCAGTGGTCGGAAGTAGTTCTGGAGGCGTTGTGTGGCTCTGCCGGCATGCAGGCTGTTCAAGGTCGGTTCGGACAGGCATGGCATAACTGAACTTCAACCGGAGTGCAAAGAGAGCCGAAGCATCGCTGCATCTACGTACAAGATGTGCGGATACCTTGTGGATAAAGGGGGAGGAGCCCACATGTTTGTGGTGATAAGAGCCACAAGCGAGCTCAACCAAAGTTTAGGGGGTGTTCCTTCAAAAATCTCGAAGTCCCGCAAGAAATAATGAGGCGGGCATTTGACAACAGAGGACATGGGATGACACGAGATTTAGCGTAAGCTGGACCCAAGCCTGATCAAGCCATCTTACACCAACACTAAGACCTCAAAGCCCTGAGAAGCCCCTTTGCATAATCATCACTATCAGGGTTTAGGGTTTAGGGTTTATAATTAATTCAACCCAACCAAAGCAATTTAAAGTAAGCTATGCTACGCACCACAGCAAAGAAAGCAACCACACCAGGACTTCCGAATCCCGAACCCTAAACCCTTAAACCCAGCTCCATGGTCTGCTTTTGTCGGAGGTCGAGATGCTATGGCAAAGCTGCTGCTCGAAGCTGGAGAGCCTCTCCCGAGCTTCCTCCAAGAGCTTGGCCTCCACTGTTGGGGTTAGAGGGGGCTTCTGCAGCTTAGGATTGTGGGATTTGGGGTTTCGGTTTGTAGGGTCTGTAGGGTTTAGGGCTTTAGGGCTTATGGGTTACAAGATTCAGAAGGTGTGTATAGGACAGTGGCCCACGATGTGTGTAGCCGGCACGCTGGGGCAAAGCTTTATGTCGAAGGGACTCTGTGCTGGGATTTAGGATTAGGGTTTAGGGTTTAGGGTAACTGGCTGCCCCACCTTCTGGACGTGAAGACTCACGATGTCATTTCTAATGTTCTGTTGAACTAGGAGAAGCTAGGGTAGATGTGATAAGCTGCTCTTTCAGTGAACTTGTCAACATGGAGACGGCTTTGGTTGTATCGCATAGCAATGAAGGGAATAACATCTCTGAGGTCTCAGCAAAGCATGCGACTGCTGCCACTCAGTGCACGATTCTGCTTTGACACATCCCCGAGCCGGCCAGGGCCACTTCGAACTTCCTCAGCTGGGGCGCCAGTGTCGCTGCCAACAGAGGCCTTTTGTTCACCAGACATAGGGAAGTCAGGGAAACGAGTTTGCATTTCATCTGCAGTCTTGAGCTGCTTTGCCAGAGCTGCTTAATCTCAAGCGCTAAGCTCAACATGGACACAGACCAAAGCTATTCAACCCACCCCTGTATAATCCCAACCCAAAAAGCACGAAGCCCCACACTCACAAACATAAGCATCTCATCGCTGAAACATCCGCAGTCGCCATTATCCTGGACCCTGAAAGCGAGGGGGGCAGGTAGGTGCAGGAGGGAAAGTTTCGTTTGGGGCGTACTTTTGAAGTAAATCGGGTTCAGGACGTCCGCCAGAGCCTGAGAGCTCGTCGAGCCGCGCAGCACAAGCGCCAAGCCTGAAGTGGAGCTGCGGTGAAGAGGAAAAACTATAAATGCAAGAAAGGGTCTCTGATTTTGGATTAGGGCTTGGGCGATGAGAACGGAAACTTAATAAACAAATATCAAAGCTAGCACGGGGCTTTTTAGGCACCTTATCAATTAGAACTGTGTATAATGGAATATCATAAGACTTACTGATTATCAAATCCATAACGCTTAATTGCGGTGCCTTAAACAGTTTCGGGGTATGTTATAGTGCAACCATGTAGCCAGTTCTGTAATATAAGGGGATGCCGTCAATAGTAATACTTGTTAGGTTCAGTACATTTGACCCCAAGGTTTCTAGGGCTGGCTGAGAAGATTGGTAGTTAAGAATTTGGCAAACCGCCCTCACTTGAATAGAGTTTCTGACTGAAAGAGTCAGCAGACTCAGCCAACAGGGGGTGAAAACCTTGCAAAGCCAAGCTGGGGGCTGTTGCTCATTGCCGACACCCTGAACCCTAAATGCAAAAACTTAGTTCTGAAGATTTGGAGGTGGCGCAGGAACATCTATACGATAAGATAAGACAATAATAATTAACCCTGCAACATACGAGTATAGAATATGGTATGTCCGAGCCGCGCCTAGGACTGCCTGCCTGCCTGCCATGCTGCTGGCGGGATAGAAAAGCCGGCTGATGCCACTGATGCTACCTCTTGTGTTGGCGGCTGCTGCTCATGATGCGAAAGCAGAGGCAGCTGATGCTCATGATGCCGGCCCAGTTACTTCAACGTTGCAGCGGAAAACGGCGAGTTGTAACGGTCAAGTTGCTGACCTCTGCCGGAGGCCAGTCATGTCCGTCTGATGCCGATGATGCTGGCCTTGCGCTGCCCTCCGTGGAGATAATCTACCTTTCTTCCTGCGCAGTGAAGCGTGCTAATGATCTTTCTGAAGCCGTTCGGAAACGCTGGCCGACTGATGCTCATGATGCCCACCTCTTTTCGGTCTGATGATTCTGCTGCAGCCGTTGCAGATACCGGGGCCTGCTAAAAAATCATGATTCCGATGTTCCCTCTCGGACAAATCGGTCAAGGTTCCGGGTTTACTGGAGTCTTTGGGGCATGTTCCATGTCAACAGCGCTCGGGGTCTTTCAGAAAGGCCCAAGCCCTGCTATTCGTGATGTGGAAGGCTGTCGGCTGATACTCGTGATGCTGGGGTTCTTGGGACACCACGAGAGTGGGTGGGGCTGTCAGAGGTCTGATGATGTGATTCGTGGTGTGATGATGATACCGTTGTCTTGAGGGTAGCTTCTGTTGACCTCGGGAAATTGGGAAGGAGCGGCCGAAATGATGGCCAGCTGATGCTCATGATGCTGTCGTGGTTCGCATGTTTTGTGGGCTTGTTTGTCGACGCAGTGCACTCTGATCCTGAGAGTGCGTAAGCATCAATGTCAAGCCTTGTGGGCACTGGTTCATGGCGGGCAGTGACAGCCAATTGACCTGCCAATCGAGAACAGTTGACAGCGCCGAGTGCTTGTGCCGATTACTTCGACAGGCTTTGGCAACTCTGTCTTTCTCGTCGATTACAAGAAACTCTGATCCTCCTTACCTCTTCTTTGCCGTGAAAAGACATTCACAGCTATGCCGAGCCACAGCGCCTGTCGTTCACGGCTTCGAAAATGCAACTGCGAGACGCTTGTCAATGTGGGGAGCCGATGCTCATCGAAACGCGCGGGCTGGCTGGGGGCAATTTTGCGTGGTAACTGTTGTGCGTGATCACGGAAGGAACCCGACCCACCCTCGAGCTACATAAAGTGGGTTGAAGATCTTAAGACCCTGAACCCAAACCCTGAACCCAGAACCCTACGCCCTAAATCCTGTACCCCAAACCCAAAGCCCCACTCCACCGCGGGCCATGCTGCAGGGATATTCAGGGTAGGGTCTAGGATTTTCGCCTCGAGAACATATCCTTTATTTCGGCACATGAGTTGCATGGCGTTGAAGGCAGTCAAGCTATCCAGACCCCCAAAAGGATCTAAAAAATAGATCCCCTGAGGGGGTTCCTATAAAGTACCCTTTAGAAGTTCGGGTCCCTAATTAGGGGATCTATGTTTTAGATCCTTTTGGGGGTCTGGCTATGAGGCCCACCCATGCCATGCAAGAATCGGGATCCCCGCCCCACCACTCAAGGCAAGGAGGAAGCTTCCTCGACCCTTTCTTAGGGCTTTTAGGGGGCTTTGGCGCTCACACTCCGAGAATTCGGGGTTTGGGGTTTCAGGGTCTAATTAGGGTTCAGGGTTAAGGGTTGTTGGAGCTCCCTGAACCCGATAAACCCAATGTACGTAAGCTTTTTCAAGGGAGATGTCCTGTGACTCTACAACCTCAGGCCCAGTCGTGGGGTTCAGAGTTTTCTGCGTAGGGAAGTTTAGGGCTTATAGGGTTTGGGCAAGGAACCAAGAAACCCTAAACCCTAAACCCTAAACCCTTAGCATGTCAAGGCTCACACACATCAGGGGGTGTATGGTTAAAGGCTTGCAGGTATGGTTGAGGACTCTAGGAACCCCTGAGCCCCTGAAACGCCCAAACCCTAAACCCCTAAACCCCAAAAGACTTGAGTCTGGGCCTCAAACCCTACTAAACCCTAAGAGCCTGGGCCTCAAACCCTACCAAACCCTAAAAGCCTGGGCCTCAAACCCGGAACCCTAAAAGCCTGGGCCTAAAACCGCTAGACCCCTAAACCCCAAAAAGAGCCCGGGCCTCAAACCCGGAACCCACTCTAGGACCTAGCAACCTCCCAGACTTCTACCCATCCCTATAAACCCTAAACCCTAAACCCCCATGAGCTCTAGGACCTAGGGGAATTCTAGCCCGGACCCGAACCTATGGCCTTGTCTGCATCCCGAGCATCTGCAGATGGCGGCTCTTCACCTGCCCTACTCATAGGCCCCCTAGTAATTCCTTTTTGGCCTTACCCCAACAAGTATACGCATAGGCCCCCTAGTAGTTCCTTTTTGGGATTACCTTATAGGATTCTAGATATGAACCCCAATGAGTATACCCATAGGCCCTCTAGTAGTTCGTTTTTGGGATTACCTTATAGGATTCTAAACATGAACCCCAATAAGTATACCCATCGGCCCCATAGTAGTTCCTTTTTGGGATTACCTTATAGGATTCTAAACATGGACCCCAATAAGTATACCCATCGGCCCCATAGTAGTTCCTTTTGGGGATTACCTTATAGGATTCTAAACATGAACCCCAATAAGTATACCCATCGGCCCCATAGTAGTTCCTTTTTGGGATTACCTTATAGGAGTCTAAATATGAACCCCAATAAGTACTGTATACCCATAGGCCCCATAGTAGTTCCTTTTTGGGGGCTCATATTTAGCATCCTTTAAGATAATCCAAAAAAGCAACTACTATGGGGCCTATGGGTAAACCCTAAACCCACCTGACTTGCCCGAAAACCCTGAGTGCCCTCATAAGCCCTACTAGTGAGTCAGGCCTGGAGGGGTGTATGAAAAAAAGGAAAAGGGGGAATCGGGGATAGGCGCGGTCCTGACTTGTTAAGGCTAGGTTTAGCGCTATACCTCTGGCTACCAAAGACCTATATACAGTAGAAGCCATAAAGTTGGAACATTGTAGTCCTCATGCCCTTAATCATCCTATATAAACCCATGTTCCAACTTTCTGGGGTTTAGGGTATACCTTGTCACATCTGGTGGAAGATCTCGTTGCTGAAAGCTCCCTCCTACTGAATCACGTAAGCCCCGGAAGCCGTGAGAACTCCAGAGATTACACATAGGATGCTTTGTAGCGTTTGTAGCTGTCAGAACAATCGCAAGCCCCTTTCAGATACCCAGCAGAATTCCAAACATTGCCAACCTAAACCCAACAACGTTGAAACCACAGGGCAAAGCAATACCCAGGTACCGTCCCTCCAAAAAGCACCTGAACGTAAACAGAGACTCGCGAAGGACATACCGCCGCTACAAAGCACGTAGTAGACTTTCTTCCTCAACTTCAATTCGAAAGTACATCCCTTACACCCGAAAAGTGAGAGCTTAAGACACAAATCTAAAACAATCGCAAAACCATCCGGAATCCGCCTTCCTGGCTTGCTCGTAGTGGCGCCGCTGCGGCAACGACCGCCTCGGTTGCCACTCCGGGCCATGTGGCAGACGGCCTGGAAAGAGCCTGGCAGGAGAGGTGCTTCGGGCCCTATTATAAAGTCTTATGAAAAGGGCTTCAGAAGGTCTCCATGATATTTAAAGGCCGTTGTGGCGGTCGCATATCGCGTCTTTGTTCTTAGGTGCTCACAAACGGCCTTACAGGGCCTGACATAAGGATTCTATGTCGGGGATTGCGAAACCGGTTTTAGGTCCGAGGCTCATCGGGCTGAGAAACACATCGTCCGAAAGTTGAAGGTTAGGTAGGTCGGTAGGTAGGTAGGTAGGTAGGTAGGTAGGCAGGTAGGCAGGTAGGCAGGTCGGTAGGTAGGTAGGTAGGTAGGTAGGTAGGCAGGTAGGCAGGTAGGCAGGTAGGCAGGTAGGCAGGTAGGTGGGCAGGTGGGCAGGTAGGCAGGTAGGTAGGTAGGTAGGTAGGTGGGTGGGTAAAGCGAGTATCGATGTTTGCATGTTTAAGTCTTTCGAGCTTCGGCTCGCGGCTTGTCCACAAGCCCAGTGAGCACGCAAAAAAACCCAATCAAGGGCCCCTTAACAGTTGCACTAGGGTTTGGGAGATTTGGGGGGAAATTTTTTACCATCTACATATTCAGACCCCGAACCTGACGCAGCAAGCAAAACCTAGCTAACGCATTTTTTGTTGAGCCCGGACTGCAATGCACTAAGCCCTGAATCCCTTCAGCCAAGCTCCTCCTAGCTAACGCCTAAACCCTGAATCCTAGTTACTTTGGAGTTCTTTGCAACTGCTTGAGCTCATGACCCTAAAACCTAAACCTTAAACCAAAACCCTAAACCCTAAACCCTACATGTATCCAAAGCCGGTCCTCCAAAAACTGATCCAAGTGCCGCCGCGCAGTGGGAAGGTCCTCGCAAACCCCAGCAGCACCAAGTGAAACATGATGCTGCGGAAATTCCTGTCGTAGGCTGCATACCCGTCTTGCTATCTTAAATGCCACGTTTAATGGTATGGTCCCAATATGCGACATAACAGTGCATGCATAGCCTCACTGCCGTGAATGATATCATACCAGTATTTACGCCATGGCCACTGCAACCCTATAGCCACGTCAGTAGCTGGACGCACAACCATCACTTGTGGCATTTGGTGGTGATCCAGTCCAAGGTTCATCTGTTCAGGTATACAACAGCAAATACCACGTAAATGTAAAAACACCGCACCAATGCAAAGAGCACTATGTGCCATATACTATTTCCACATGGAGCCTTAAGCCTACATAATATATGGGAGTTTCTGAAAGTTAGGGTACCTTATTTGGGGGTCCTTATAATAGGGATCCTATTATTTAGGGTACTATATTAGGGTCCCTTATTTTCGGAAACCCCCATATCCAGGTGCCTCCGAGCTTGGCCAGTGGTACGGGACCCGCAGCGTGACCCAGGCTAGCAGTGCATCGGAGGGTGCCGAGTCCTTTTGCAGGTACCATGTTTACGGATTTTGTCGCTTCGGGGCTTTGGGCTGGACGGCTTCAGCACAGCAGGTGCGATTCCAAGGGTTCAACGCTTTATGAATGTAGCAGGCCATAATTATATTATAATAAAGTTGTTCGAGCTTGTGGTGTAAAGTTCCGATTTCGGGTGTAACGTCTGGCATTTGAGGAGCTTGCACTAACCCACACCCCCCAAAAAAGAACACAAAAACGAGATGACTGATTCTTGTATTTCCTATAACCCACATTTGCGGCAACTACTGAGGACTTTCATGTAAATCAGGTGTAAAATCATCCACCCCAAAGAGCTCCAAGAGAATAAAGCCTGTTTTCGCCTCCCACCTGGCAATAAAGCTTTGGAATGTAGGGTTAAGCCCATAACCCCTTTTGACATGACATGTTCCCTCAGCAATAAACCCGAGGGTTTGGGGTTTAGGGCTTCGGGTTTAGGGTTTAGGGCGTAGGGTTTAGGGTTTAGGCGCTTTAGGGTAAAAAGGGTTTAGGGTCTCGGGGTGTCCATGCAGTTTACGGGTGGGTTCCTTAAACAAATATCCTACAGAGGTGCATGGACCCTGAAAGGAATCGGTAGAGGAAACCGAATCCCGGCTGAGGTTTGAGATCCTGTGCATCAGAAGGAGCAGCCTGGGGGAGTGCAGGGTCTAGGGATCAGGACTTAGGCTGCAAGGGTTCTATGGAATGTTTCTTGAAGGCTTGTAAACCCTAAACCATCAAGGTCGCTGTTTGCTGATTTTGGCGTCGGACGACTCACATTTGGATTTGGGAAACTTTAGAAGAGTGCTCAAAGTTTGATGTTTCCGAAAACTTCCTACTTGCATGGAGGTGCAACACTATTGCGAACTACTCAACGGATGTAGCAATACGGGTAGTTCTCTAAAGTAGGGTCCCCTTTCGGGTCCCCAACATAGTACTTATAAACAAGACCCTAATAGGGACCGTAATTCAGAGAGCTACCCATACAAAGAACCTCTCAAGCCGAACTTCGCCAACACCGTGCCCTAAGGCAGTGGTCGCACGCCTGTCCTCCCCGCGCACGGTTGGCAGCGGGGGCATCTCTGCTTCCTAGAGCTGGGAGATGCTCATGAAGAAAATAGGAGATGCCCCGGTCATGTTTCGTAGCAGGTCATGTAAGTCGGTGCCCAGAGTGGGGTACTAGGCTCTCCAGGTATCTCTAGTCGAGTTTTGCTTGGCGTGGGCCTGGGGATTGAGGGCCTGCGGATTGAGATTGTAGGATTTCGGGTGTACCAGCATGTCTTACGGAGCGGCAAGTGAACGTTAAGCATTAACCCGAGTTGCGTTGAGCATGCTGCTCGGTCCAAGGGCACATTAGAGTGTATATAAACAAGGACTACCTTGACTATAAGGCAACCCTCAAACTGAACCGATAAAGAAACCTGAAACCCAAAGTCCTTTAGGGGATTTTGTTGCCTCCATGTGTCTTGACACTGTAAACTTGTGTCCTACACTCAACCACAAAACGCATCAGCAGAGAATGAGAAGCTATGAAGCTAAACCCTAAACCCTGCACCCCCCCAAAACAAACCTACCTGTTTCAGGAAATCTACGGAAATCATGGCAACGAGCCGCAAAAGATCTGCTATTTATGGTTCAGGTACCTTAACCTACCATAACCCTCTTTTTGTAGGTTTTTATTATAAACCCTGATATGGGATTTATAGGGACCCTACAAAAAAGTAGGTTCTGGTAGGCCAAGGTAATCTCTGAGCCTTCAGCTATGTCCCAACATCCCGAGCCGCAGAAATCGGCCTCGCAAAAGCTCAGCGATTCCAGGAGCCATGCGTTGAAAGCCTCCATTGGCCAGTTAATGTAGGGGCCTTAAAAATTAGAATAGGGTTCCTTTAAAGAGTTACTATGAGGGTTCTATAAGGGTGTAACGTAGGGGCCTTAATAGTTTGAATAGGATTTTGGGGGGTTCCTTCTTATATCTATACCCCCCCAAGCCGTTTCTAATTATTAAGGCCCCTAAATTCATCCAGGCGCCTTTGCTGATTCGACCCCGGGCTTTGGAGGACAATCTAGTTCTTCAGTAGTATATTCGGACTGTGAGGGGATACAGTTACCTACTCAGGTAGCGTAAAAACCCATAGATGTTTTGCCTACCATGGCTTGGGTTCCTGCTATCACCGTCTCAAACGTCGGAAGTGAAGCCAGCCATGCCGCTTGAAGAGATGTTCATCACCGGCTGAGTTCTCCACTAGCTAGAGGTGGCGTTCAACCTACTGAACTTCGACAGCTGAAAGAATTACAATGCCTGTTGTTGCCAAATTAAAAATGAGCCCCACAGTTCATTGGGGGATCCGGGTTTCGAGGTGCAGTGTTCTTGGGCTTGAAGCCCTGTGGCCAAACTCTTGCAGTTTCTAGTGCTTCACTTGCTCCGCACGAAGCCCTTCCTGATGACATGCCAACTAGAACCGGCATGAACCGGCGCAGCATCAGGGTAATATACAGGCCTAAATAATTACCAATACTATTTGGGGGGTGCTCCTTATTTCAATTCTAGTATAATATAGAATTACCCCCAAACCCTAGTCATGAGGAAGCCACTTCAACAACACCCCACTGCCTAAGCCTCTTGGCACCCACAAACCCTAAAAGCCTAAACCCTAGAACATCCTAGAACCGACATCGGCTTGCAACTCATCGCATCCAGACAACCCTATAAACCCTAAACCCCGGCGTCTTTTTCTGTCGGCATCCTCCCAGCGGCGTCATGCGGAGTTCGAAGCCAGGTCTAAGCTCAGACCCAATGATTTCAGATTTCTGGTGTTTAGCGGTTTAGGCTCGGTTTTAAGGCTTTTTGTTAAGCTCCTTGTTGCAACTGTCGAATCCCCAGCTTAGGGTCTCGAGTTTAGGGCTTAGGTTTCAGACTGACTTAGAATTTAGTGTTTGGGATCTACTAAACGGATTATAAGGTCTCGGATTATGAGGCAATCAGTAAGCCAGGCTCAGGCGGGATTGAGCGAATCAGCAGCTGCTTATTGGAGGAACTGCATGTCTGCGTCTTTCTGCACGCGGGCAAACCCTCTAATATTGCAGGGGCCCGAATGATTGCTTAGCTTGTTTATCGGCTATTCCATTCTAGGTGTGCAGAGCAATGGGCCGGCGTCGCCGTCCAAAAGGAATAGTTGGCCTGTCGCAGGCGTTGGCAGGTAAAGTCCTCTTTGTTCCTGGCGTGTCCTGCAGGTGTGCTGGCTTATTCGGATGTTGTAGGTTTGCATTATATGGGGGGGGGGGGATTGCAGCTTTGTATTTTGAGAGATGTTTTGGTTGTCTATGAGATGCTGCAAGGTGTTCTGGGTGTCTATGACATGCTGCAAAGCTTTTGCCGCCAGTCCCAGCATGACATGACGGTCTCAAAACAAACATGTATTCCAGAGGAGAGTCTGACCATGCAGTAGTCCAAGCTCTCCCTGCAAGGCCATTCCGAATCATCCCTATACCGACTTAAGGGTTTCAGGGTGTCAGGGGTTTAGGGTTTAGGGTTTTTTCAAGGTGTCAGGAATAGTCGGGTTTGGGCTTTCCGTCCTCGCAGCAGTCGCAGCTGTTGGGATTTGGCGGGAGCTTGCGGAGGGGATTGCCACTGCACGCCAGGGTCCTGGCGGGTCGCGAGCGGGCAATGGAATATCACTGGTAGGGTTTAGGGAGTTGGGGCTTACCTGGCGCTTTGTGGTGTGACTGTTAGGCTTTTTTGTTTTCCTTAACCACCCACTTTGAACATATACTCTCCGGGGAACTGTACAAGGAGATCATAATATGGAGCCCTGAAGATTTAGGTTTCTTGGGGTCCGAGTAGGGCTTTTGCTTTTCTATTGTTTCCGTACCAAATACAGCCTAAGAAGCTGAGAACCCTCAGTCGCCCAAAAAGGCTTTTAACCTTCACAGGCTCTCATGGCAGGAGATTAAAGCGACTAAGGGTCATGGAGTGACAGGGGCATTAAGTTTCGCAGGCATCGAGCGAAGAGATGCCCTAAACCCTAAATCCTAGACTCATGCAATAGGTGTCTCTGCCTCTTCGGGGGGCTTCCGCGTGTCACCTAAATCGCTCCTGTCTTCGACCCGAAGAACCTCGAAGCGAGCAGTGTAAACGCCCAGCCATGTTTGTTTTCTGTTGTAATACTGTGGTAGTTAAATTTATAGTGGTTCAACCATGTAGGGGTTCATATTATACCGTCACAAGGAAAGCCACCTACTTTGTGGAGAGCCGGGCTGGCAGACCTGCGTATGTTTGTAGGGATTTCAAGACATCGTCTTCGTGATCCCTTGGACACGGCCAGGTGAGGATCGAATCAGCTAAAAGCTTGTAGCATCCTCCCTAAACCAGAAAGCCCAATCCTTGAACCCTAAACACATGCTCCTTTACATCGGGCTTCGGGTTAATATATTGGCCTTAATAATTAGAATAGGGTTTTGGGGCCCATTATACTATAAATATATTAAGGAGCCCCCAAAACCCTATTCTAAGTATTAAGGCCCCTACATTACACCCGTATAGAACCCTAACTATAGTAACCCTTAAGGCCCCTCCATGAAGGGTTCCTAGGGTGGCCTGCAGCCCAAAGCCCCGCATCCTGGTGTAAGGTCCTTGCAACCCTGAACCCTAAACCCTAAACCCTGAACCCTAAACCCTGAACCCTCACCTCAGGAACTCGTATCCGCTGAAGTCTGGCAGCTCCTGCTTTTGGGGCTTTTAGGCTTTTATTGAGGCTTTTAGGGTTTTAGGGTTTTAGAGTTTAGGGGTTTAGGGGTTCAGGGTTTTCGACTCTCACAAGGGTTTAGGGGTTTAGGGGTTTTTGGTTTAGGGGTTTGGGGTTTAGGGGTTTAGGGGTTTAGGGCTTAGGGTTCACAGCAGATCTTCACGGTTTAGAGTACCTCTTATACACTCTGCATCACCTCAGTGAAGGAGCAGTTGCTAACATCTTCACGGTTTAGGTTTTATAGGGTTCAACATGAGAGAGCGGGCAAGGGACAAGCAGGTTCGGTCTATTGTTTCTGCAGAACTTGAAGGTGTTGTCACCTCTGCGCGTGGCTTAAGCTTGCAACGGCTTAGAGGTAGGTTTAGGGACTTTGATCGTAAACACAGATAAGATACGGACTACACGGGGTTACGATGGCGAAACTCTATGTCAGTTCTGATAAGGCCGTAGAAGGGACTTGAAGCCACAGTTTACTTAATAACTTTCACCTCTGCCTCCCCCGCAAGGTCGATGCTGAGGTTCCCAAGCAGTGCAATTTCAACTGTGGAAGCGCGGCTACCTATGCGGTATTTCCTGCACTGCCATAATCGTCCATGCTAGATTCTAGAAATCTGGGCTTGAAACGGATGTTGGGCAAGCTGGAAAGCTTTATCATGCGCCTCCCTCCGCTCAGTTCTCTGAGGAGCACGCAAGGTATGTAATTGCGAACTTAGGCTCTTGTAGGTTATACTGTACTCTTTACATGCTTAACATTATTACGTTGCGTTTTGGCATGGTCTCTTTTTCGTCTGTTTACAAGACACTTGTGCAACATGAGCTGCTTTTCGTTTTGCATCGGTGTGAATCCGAAAGCTTTCTTCAGCTCTAAAGCCTCTTTGGGAGCTCTACACCCAAAGCTCTAAAACCTGACCTCCAAAATCTCAACCCTGACCTTCGGTGTACACCGACCAGTCGAGACCTCAGCCCTGCAAAATGCCCCATGTAACTTATAATAACGAAGCCTGACAATGCCATTCCTGTAGGGTTTCTTGTCAGATAGTCTACTATACTGCACCCCAAAACTCTACTCTAAGTGTTTTAAGGCTGTTAAGGTTCCTCTATTATAATCCGGCACAAGGTACACAGGTGATGCATGTTGAAGCACTGTTCTGGCCTGGATTTGGTTATCCTGGACGCAGATCTCGGTGACCTCGCCGCTCTCTCTCTCTCTCTCTCTCTCTCTCTCTGTCGCCTCCTCGACAGATCAAGCCCCCGAATCCAGAAATATCTTCGGGCCATATCCCTAACAGCCTACGGCTTCAACAAACAAGCCCAGCACCCCAGACATGCAAAACGTGGCAGAAGGCCATCATGCAATCTGCAAATCTCTGCTGAATACAGGCTCATCTGTTCATGCGACCCAGACTTGGCCCTGTACTGTGCCTACTTGTAACCCTGACAAAACCCAACCCTTCTAGACCCCCTCTAATTGGCCCTAAAGAAATCTCAGAGTAATTCACCCATGAGAGATGACAAGTTGGCGATACTTGAGCCGAGGGCGGCATGTCTTGGCGGTGATTTAGAACATTCGACACTTCATGGCATGACCCTAAGATGTGTCAAAGAGGTTCTCTACGGGGGCTCAAGCCCCAAACGCCTCAGCCGAAGCCGCACCTCTAGGCAATGCCGGTCGTTATTCAGATGTGCAGCAACGTTAACGTGAAAACCTAGCGCCTTCTCATCAACGTACTGCCCCAGATTCTACGAGGTATGGGAGAACCTACCAACAAAAAGGATCCTCGCTGCAAGCACCCGTGGTTCGGGACCATAGAAGTCAAATCGGGCAGGGTGCCACCGTGCGCGCCAAGGGAGGCAATGCGAGAAGATGGTTGCCGTCGGCATAAAGCAGTCCGAGGTGATGGAGCCTTAATTCGGTTTAGGTTTAGGGTTTGGGCTTAGGTTAGGGACTGCAGGAACTGAGGTTTACTCGTTTCGGAGTTGACAGGATTGTGTAAGGGGTACGGCACAGTATTAAAAGGCAGTAGAGGAGGAGGAGGAGCAGTGCCAGTGAAGTAGCCGTAGTGAAGTAGCCGCCATAGTCGTCGTCGTCGTAGTAGTAGTAGTCGTCGTCGTCGTCGTCGTCGTAGTAGTCGTCATCGT